TTTTTTTTGTCAGGGATCCGTATCTGTTAGTATGTCTCTTTTCCAAAGTCGATTGTGCTTTGTTTGTTCCCATTTAACGTCCGGTCAGAAGTATAGGGCCGAGCAAAGGCGTAACTCGGATGTTCTTGAGATAATAAAGCGGACTCATTTTTCGTCCGTCTTTGACATAGACCAGCCACAGACAATCCCTTCCCATGAGTAAGTGCATTAACATGAATTTTTCTCATGTTCATCTGTAATGTATATTAATGGATTACCGATTTACGTTATTAGTCCTTAAGAGCCAATGACTGTTTGAACAGCCAGATATTCTGGTTCGGAGATTTGAATTACCGCATCAATATGTTAGATGGGGACGTAAGGAAACTTGTCGATAAGAAACAGTGGGCCGAGCTTCTCAACAATGATCAGGTATGGACTCGTAAAAGGTAAAATGCTACCAATGTGATTATAAATGGACTTCTAATTATTCTTGCTTATGGGCTTGTCCTGGACATGATGTTTAAACCAATTGCAATTTTTTTTTTCTTGATTTTTTTTTTTTCGTTTTCTTATTGCACTTTTTGACGGGTGCAGTTAAGCAAAGAACTTCGGAATGGGCATGTGTTTGACGGGTGGAAAGAGGGGATCATAAACTTTGCGCCAACTTACAAATACGAGATCAATTCTGATAGATATGTCGGCCAAAATCCAAGAGAAGGAGAAAAGAAGAGATCTCCAGCGTGGTAAATGTATACTGTACTTTTTGAATTGTTCATGAACGTAATTCGTATTCATGAAGAACTGTTACTTTCATCTCCATATCATTTCAATTTATTCATGAAAAGAAAGGAAAACTTTTTGCGCAGGTGTGACCGTATACTTTGGTTTGGAAAAGGCATCAAGCAGCTTTTTTACAAGCGAGCGGAGATAAAACTTTCAGATCATCGACCCGTGAGTTCAATGTTTTTGGTTGAAGTCGAGATATTCGACCAACGCAAGCTACAAAAGGCCCTTAATTTCTCAAGTGCTGTCGTACATCCGGAAATTTTCGCCGAAACATGCTGAAAAATATTAATTTCAGTATGTCAGCTATTGTACTCTCAACTCTCTTAAAGAGTATGTTATGTTAACTTGTGTACAATCCATCGTCTTCCTAGTTTATGAGTGACATAAAAAGATTTGTAAGAAGTTACTTTTTTTTTTTCAGCTTCACCACTAGCTTGTAACTAAGTCATGTTACACTACTAGAATGATTTGCAGATTGAGTTGTCTGAAAATTCAAAAAAATCTAATTTTTATTTATTTATTTGGTATTTTTTCTTTGCCTGATTTTGAAATTTACTGAGCATAATCACTAAATAAATAATTAAATAGTCTAGTACACATGATAGCAATTAAACTTATAATAGTTTGGTAAATATACGGTTTGAATTTCTCTATGCAACCTTCACAAAAATATAATTTCACACTGTTTTTATTATGTTTCTCTTTTATCTATTATATGCATAATTTTTAAATGTCTTTCAATACTTCTATTTTAAATAATTATTTATATATCGAGTTTATATATTGTACCGACTGATTTATTTTTTTTTCTTTTATAATCTACATATTAAAATACTCTCTCAGTTTACTTTTAACTAGTATTTAATCTTTTGCACAAATATAAATAAAATATTATAAACTATATGTATGAATGTTATATTTATTATCATGAAATATATATATAATACACACATCACATGTTTTTATAAATTAGCAAAATAAACAATATAAGTTTAATATTTTAATTATATATAAATAAATAACATAGAGTATAATGAAAGATATATTTATTATAAATTTAAGAAATCATGGCTAATTAATTAGTTTAAACAAAATAAATTATTTTTATTATAAAAATTGTTTAGAACTTAGTTTTTTATGTCATTAAAATCAACTACTCGCTACTAATAAACTTAATGAGATAAAATTAAATAATAAATAATCAAATGTTTAGAAATGTTATCAAGTTTCCCACGTTTCTTCACAATTACAACCATTTACATTTTGCAGTCTTCTTGATATTATAATATTTAAACAATGGAAGACATTGAAGTTTTAGTTGTTAATTAAAGTGCATTTTGTTGAAATTCTAATTTCGAAACAATGAAGTTTTAGTTGCTAATTGCAAAGTGCATTTTGTTGAAATTCTAATTTTGAGACAATGATATTTTTAAGACAAAGTATTATATATGTGTAATAAATGTGAGAATTTCCCACAAAATTTATTATATATATATATATATATATATATATATATATATATATATGATAGTAAAATAAATCCAACAAATGTGAGAGTATTTCTAAAATATTGTTAAAAATGTTCATACAAACACTATACATAATATTACTAATAATATTACTAAATTTTGTATAAAATAACCTTTCCTATAAAAAAAAGTGAAATGTCAAAAGTTTTTAAAACTATATTGTAAATAAATATATTATAAACGATGAAAAAATTTCCTTATTTAAAAATATATTTGTTTATGTAGTTTATGTTTATGAATAATTATTAATTCTATTTTATGTTTTAAATCAATTTTAAATATTAATATGCTCCAGTTTGTAAAGTCGTAAAATCTGTGTGTTACATTGAAGAATTGTAATAGCTGGTGTGAAACGGAGTATTCCGAAGATGGTTTTTGCCTTTGAGAACGAGTTTTTCAATTGAAGAATAATTAATGTTTGATGTGACAATTTTATTTATTTATTATTTATTTTATTTTTTTGCTTTGCGATTGGAGGTTCCCCACGTTCACTCCGAGACTTCACGACGAATTGTCAGCCCACACCTAGAGGTGTGGGACTAATCCTAGAAGGAGTGAGGTGCCCCATCCCCACTCCCACGATAGTCAGATTCGATCCTCTGACCTTCGCTTTCACAGGGAGTTTCACCTTTCCACTAAGCCAGTGGACTACATGCCATGGGGGCGATGAGACCGAGTTTGAGAATGAATTTTTTGACCTAAAATGATGGCCCCTGTTAAATGCCTTCTACTCGACGTACTCTACAATTCTGAGGTCGTGTTTCCCAATTGCAGACCGATCCAGTGAGTTTAATTCCTTTAATGTAGCCGCTATGAAGAATTTAAGAATGAATTTCGGTTGCCCTGTTAAATGTCTTCCCATTGACATACTCTATAATTGCGATGTGAGGCAATATGAGAATGAATTTTTTGGTTTTCCTATCAAATCCTTCTTGTTGGCATACTCTATAATTGCGAGGCGGTTCTTCCCAAACGACATACTTTCTAATTGCGAGGCAATATTTCCCAGTCGCACACAGATCAGCGAGCTTAATACTTTGATTCTCAATCGACAGAAACATGCATGCACATATACCAGTGTCTTTTCCTTCGACGTCATTGGAATGGTTGACATGGTTAGGTCACCATTGGTCGCATAGAAGTTTCGTGGCCTCTTGCGCAAAGGTGGCAACTGACATGTCAACTCACTATTAGTCGCATAGAATTTTCGAGGCCTCTTGCGCAGAGGTGGCAGCTGATGCGAGGACATACATCGCTTATAAGTTTAAAAAGGCGCAAATACTGTACTATGAAATTTCATGAAGAATCTCAATTTTTAGCATGCAGGAACCGAGTGATTTGTAAAATAAAATATGAGAAAATATCTTGCAAATATGAGACAAATTTATGCAGTAGTTAGTTAATTCGAAAAATGACAGTTTTCATTTGGCATGAGGTTCGATTGCTCATATGAAGTGTTCTTCGTTGCTAGGCACTCGCCCTACGTGGGCTGGGGCTCGCGCCTAGGCAAGTGTATAAAAAAAATCAATAAATTTATTTATATTTATCACCGTACATATTGTATCAAATGTAGGAATCAATACAACTAAACAGTAAACACAAAGATTATGCAAAATCTAGTGCATTTATAAATCATATAAATGTTAATATGATTTATCAATGTCCTTTATTATATAACTAACGTAAATTTCATGCATAATTATTTTTAGTACCCAAAAGAAAAGGCATTACTGACTTCACAGCCGCCTAATCGCCGAATAGAGTCTAATCGTGGTGCCGCCTAACATCTATGCCAATTTGTAAAGGAAAATGCCATGTTGTCAACCTAGTTGTACTCTAGGTTGGCAATGTAGCATTTCCCATCTGTAAAACAACGCTTATAAGTACTGTTTTCGTAGCTTTTGCCGCACAACGTAATGTCAATACGAAAAATAAATCAATAAATATTTCCTTATAAACCGCATAAACCTCGGTATATTTGATTAGTAACACATCAAATTCTTTAACTAGGTAAAGGAAAAACAAAATATAGCAAATTTTTAGTCATCCAAAACCTAAGGTGTATTTATTCATCATAAACCATACTAAAATTGTTCTATCATATGACTAGAGGTTGCACGAACCTCGCCTCGTCAGGTTTGCACCATGTCTATGATCTTGATTCAGTCTTCCAACTGGGAAATGATTCTTACAAAGACTCCATACCCTTGGCACATGTCCGATAGAAGGCAATATTCATTCTTGGCATGGTATGTAGCCATTAAGCCTGCATAATGTATATGACACTTTTGAATTATTTCTTTGATTAAGATTATTGAAGTAAGTTGAGAATACGTATGGGCATGCTATTCATGTAATGGTAGGCCAAAATCATAAGGTAGAATACAACAGTAAAAAATTAAAAGATTTACCATAACCAGAAGTTTGCACATCAAAACCTTCATCCTGCATTGGAATAGTAGGCAACGGGCGAATTAGAGAAAATTCTGGTTTATGGAAAACCAGGAAATACGAGAAAAAAGTTTTCACCTGTAATTCACGTATGAGTGGCAAGCTACCAGTAATAGAGTATGGTTTTACGTGCCCAACCACCTCTTCAGTAGCTTTGCACAACACATGGAAGCCACGAGACTCGAGATTGCAAGCCACTCCTGACGTTGCTTCATCAAATGTAATAGTCAATCTGAGGAGTCGAAGAAGAAATAAATCAACAATACTATAACAGTTAGGAAATGCTGAACTTTCTCAACTCTTGAACAGCGTTAATAGATTTAAAAAATATGAATTGTGGACAACATTTTTAAAAGATGTGGGGCACAAGCTTAGGGCAGCTAATCGAGTCGAGGATAGTCAACCAAAGTTAACCTATTTAACAACCATAATCTACTTAAATTAAGACAAAACCCTAAATCCTAATGGGTATCTAACACTACAAGCATAAAGCCCACTGAAGTATGATAACTAAAATAAAATAAAAATGAAATAAAGAATCACAAATACATCAATCTCTAACAGTACTAACAGAAGTGATGCCGTCCAATTGACTGGGAGAAAAAAACATACCTTCCTCTGAGATCCTCGTCTGGCAGAACATATTTTGAAACAGGTCCTCGTGTGTCAACCTTCTCTATGTTAGTATTCAGGTCTTCAACATATTCTTGTAGCTTCTTCATTACAGTACTAACACTGGAAAAGAGAGTGTACTTTGTGCTCAACTAAAAACTTGGAAGTAAAAGATTGAAATTGCGGACTAAGAAACAAAAGGTATATTAGCACAATCAAGATGACGGCGCGGAAAAGTCAAACATCCCATAAGGTGACCAGTGAAGAGTATGGTATTATAGTGTATAGCATACCTATAAAATGGAGTCAACCTGCAATAATAAAAAGAAAAGATTAAGAGGTCAATGATAATGGGTAAAAAATTATAGGAAATTCTTTAGGTGAAATACAACCTAACATCACCGCAAACTGTACACTCAGCTGGTATCTGATTGATGCCACCTCCAGGATCTACAATATATATGATAATTGAGGAAGAAGACAGTTTATTAAACAAATACTCATTAATATAACAGGTTAAAATTTTATTTCGAGAGCACTTACAATTCCATTGAGTTGGTTTCATGGTTGATGGTGTTGCATATCCATACACTTTCTCCTTTGGATGGGGAGGGAAATCTGTGTAAAACCTTGTCTGGATCACTTTTAAAGCTTCCATAGCTAGTTCCAACGGATTAATAGCCTATATTGGAGAAAATAATAATAATAATAATAATAATAATAATAATAATAATAATAATAAAAGCTAAAAACATGCACTAAAGAACTACTCTTATTTAGAAATGTTTTAGGCTACGCAATACATCAATAATTGCAGGTTTCTTCCAAAAACAAGAAACATCAATAATCAGTGACTAAAGCATTCTAGTCGTAATATACATCGGGAGATGAGCTCTAAAGCTTTACTTAGGAATAAGGCAGTCTCGTGTTTGTAGGTGCACCTCGAGGAATGCCTTTAACAATTCTGATAGGATCACATATGACAAGTATAACATTCAAAGTCCACTTCAACCTTAAAGACAAATTTGTCACCAATTGTAACTTACTGCTCTCACTCTTTGTTTCACTAACCCACTCTATAACCTTTTTATAATATATTTAAAATCCCACAAAAAGTTCAAAACTGCCTTGCACTCTAATAATGCCCATCTGTCGGACCTATACATGAAACAAGCCAATAGTACTACCCTCAGACTTAAGTTATTCAGCAGGTTACATGAGTTAAAGCGCATCACACAGAAATGGAGGGAAAACAACAAATAAAAAAACAAATCCCTCGTTCGAGCAAACAAAACAGATATTTTGTGGCTAACAATAAAGATACTAATCAAGTCTCATGAATGTGAACTCCATTTAAAAAAATCCAAATCTAATATGAAGAAAGAATCCCAAACAATGATGCTATAACAAAACTAAATCCACCTTATGGGCTAGACCACTATGGAAAAGCTTCCCAGTAACATGAAGCTTCCATGGTATCATACCACCGGTACCAATGCAGGGCTGCTTATCAGCTGTGTCAATCCAAAACCTGCAAATAGAGATCAAGAGCAACAATCACATCTGATGAATTTTTCTAAAACTTTGTAGATATACTCAGCTCCAAAAAAATTTGATCAGACGAAAAATAGAATATGCATACAGAGGTCCCTGCTTTAATTTTTCCAGCAATCCATCCTTCACTAATGCATCAACCCCCACTCCAGGGATGGATGAATTCTCTTCACTGGCTATAAATACAGAAACCACAGTAGACTTCAATTGAGGCTTTGTTTCCCCAAGCCTTCTCATTAATTCAGCTACAAGGGCAACATGCCCCAAACAATCAGTAGTTCCACGCCCTCTGAGCTTGTCTCCATCTATGCTCAGAGTGAAAGGATCAAAATCCTGCATCATAACGCAACATAATCCGTAGAAAACTTCGTCTTACTTACACGATGGTAGATCTGAAACTTTTTAGTGATTCCACTTGAAGTAACTTATTCCAGTCCACTTTTAATTATCAAATGGAATCTATATTTTAAATGAGCAAAATACATAATATACACGCAATTAATATGTTTCCACAATAAATTTCAGATAACTCTCTCAAGTGACCGACCTTATCCATTAGCGAATTAACAAATAAATAGCTCACCTCAATATTCAGGAGCAATATATAGACATAAGAGGATAATAAAGTGACAAGATTCAGAAGTAATCTACATATCAAATGACAAAAATAATAAATTTTAATGAGGAATCTTGGTTTCTGTCAAAACTACTAAGTACAGACTCCGTATCATCGCCCTAAGCATACTAATCTCCTCAATGTAGCAACTTTCAAATGACGGGTAAATACCAAAAAGATCACAAACAAACCTAAAACCCACCTTAGCCAAATTCAAAACCATAAACCCAAAATACAAACTTTACAAAAATGGTTACACATTCACCAGAATACCCAAATTTTCACGGGTGGCACACATCGCAATCAACAGTGAATCAAAATTCCAGATTACAGAATCGAAGCGCGTGATCAGAAAAATTTACCCAATCACAAGGGTTGGCCGTGACGACATCCATGTGCATCCCAACGAACGACAACACTTTCCCGGGCTCAGTTCCAGGGTACTCCACGATGAGATTTCCTCTGTGGGGCTTGTACGCGACGTGGTTGATAACGAGCGGGCCGCCGTTGGCGGTGCTGAACGGGCGGAGGACATCGAGCACGTGCCCCACGATCCTGTCCTCCTCCGGGATGAGCTCCGGCGGGTTGTTCTGCACGTGCTTCGACTCGCCGATCAGTTTCGAGAGAAGGGATACAAAGGAGTCCTTGTTGAGGTCCCCGAGTGTGTTGGTTACGCTTGAGGCAGCCATTAGCGAGGGTTCAATGAAGTTCTACAAAGTGTAACTGATAGGTATACTCACTCACAGTGTGATAACATTATGAATAAATAACATTATGAATAAATATAATACAAAAATAAAATAATGACAAAATAAGAAAAAATTGTATTTTTAAGGTCATAGCATTTTTTGTCTCAAGATTTTAACTTTTGTCTTTTGATCTTGTAATTTAATATTTTGCTGCAATTTCAGTTATTTGGCACTGAAATTGCAATAAAATTTAAAATTACAGGACTCAAATTGCTAATAAAAAATCTTTTGCAAGACTCAAATTGCTAATAAAATGCATAAGGATGTTGTGTTCAGCCTGAAATACAATCATGAAGTTGAAAGTATCAGTTCCTTGGCTTACTCATGACCACTTCGAGAAGTTGGCGTGAGATGATCAATCCTTCACCACCCTGTAATTTTAAAATTTGTTGCATTTTTAGTTCTAAAGAACTGAAATTGCTTTGAATTTTAAAATCATATGATCAAATAGTAAAAATATTCAATTCTTAAAACTAAAAATGTATCAAACCAACACAACTAAAATTGCAATTTTTACAATTTTGCCTTAAAAATAATAGCAAATATTGATAGTGACTAATGGTTAGAATTTCGAAATACGAGTGCGTGAATAATTATTTTTTTATTCTAAAATACAAAATAGATTTTAATTTTGATCTTTAATTGTGTTGGTGGAATTATTATAAAGTAAAAATGAGAAATAAATTGTTATTATTTTTTTATATTTCTAATGATACAGATCATGCCCTACTAAACAAGATTAAAAACTTTTCATATTCAACCACCCTATTTTCATGATAGGGATCGGAAAATAATATTAGCAAATAATATTAATAACATCTGAGCCCTGCAGCCCGGCCCGAATAAAATACACCTACGAGAGAGTAGCAACAAAATTACAGGAAAAACGAAGCCTCCTACATTAATGGCGTTTAAGCACACTTTTATATATACTCTGTTTGCTAGAGTTACCAGTTTAGCATACCAAAAATCCCCTAAAAACGAAATCCGAGAGTGTTAATTAATGAGGATGCATCTTCATGGAGTTGGGCCAACCCATGTTCGAATACATGGGCATACTATGCACCGGCCGTCCAGCATTCGGGTGGTAAGCTCCCGAGCCATGGTGATTAAGAGGACTATTGCTACCATCATTGTCTTCACCCGACTCACTCGAAGCAGCCGGTGAACTCGAGCTGGCCTCAGTAGCACGAGCACCGAAATTCAGCATATTTGAAGATGGAGGAGTATTGTTAGCAGCAACAGCAGGAGAAGAAGAAGATGGCCCGGTTTTCGATTTTTTTCCTTCTGCAATAAAGCTCCCAACTACAACCTGAAAGGAAATAATATCTGGCCGAGAAGATAGAAAAAAAACACTAATAATGATAATAATAATATTAAGAAGAAGAGTACCTGAACAAGTGATGCAGCTTTAAGCATTCCAGCTATCCCTCCGCCCAAAACTCGGCCATCTGTTCCAGCCAGCGAGACACTCAGGCCACCACTTTTACTGTGGGCCCCATTACTTTCTGACGTTACAAACGACCCAGACAAAGAGATGATCTCAAATCGTCCCTGCAAAATAAGCACAAGGTATAGTTAATTACTCTTTTTTCTCAAGTAAAGCAGTACTGTAACTAGGATAAATATAATCCAGCCAATCATTTACAGTGGCAAGGATTGTTGACCCAAAGTATAGGGTTCAAAAAACCCAGAAGACAATATCGATTTCAAGAAATGCCTCAGCGCAGCAGGGAATTAAGAGTATAACATGGTAAGGACTAATTAAGCTGTTCCGAATTTCAAATTGTCCCAAAATTTCTAAAGAGTGCATTTTCAAAGAAGCAGTGGCAAAGGAGTGAAACATCGAGAGAAAGATAGAGAAATGGTTTATGATCGATTACGAGGATTGCTACAATACAACTTGCTGGACCTGAGTACTGATGAAGAAAATTCTGTCCCTACCTACAGAACAAATGAACCAAACAACACGAACAAACTCTCATTTAAGCTTGCTTGAGTTCGATTGTATTTGTCCAATATTCGAGTTAATAATCAAATATGCACAACCTTGTTCGCGAATATTATCGAGTGTTGGCTAACATTAATTTAACATGCAACCTATAAAAAGATTAATAATCTACGAAGCATTTTCGTTAGCTGAAGTCCAAACTTTCGAGCTCAAACAAATGAAACTACCGATAATCAAACAGTAAGAACAAGCTTGTTAAACTAAACAAGCCATACGCACAAAAAAAAAAAAAAAAAAA